GAAAGCTGGTTAATTTCAGTTCAATTGTAAGTTCATTCTTTATGTGCGTAGTGGTGTGCGATGTGTATTGTCTATTATGATATTGTAATCATTGTTTTACTTTAACGTTAACTATGTACGAGGGCGCACTGCGAGCTGACATCACATTTGTCTCTCATGCTTGCTCTCACTGCGTGATGTGTCAGTGCAGTTATAGGTATGTTCCCTAATAGACGTATAAAGTTTTTGTATTTTATATATCATATGTTGTTATCATACAATATTACATCAGCAAGAGGGCTGTTTTCCCGTGCACAATAGCAAATATGATATTTATTTTATATAATAGTTAAATTAACATTGTTACATTTTATAAACAATATTGTCAATATTGTTTGTTTTCCCTTTATTTCGCTGACGAGAATTTCAAAATGAAACCGTAGCAGAGTCTCAATGCCAAAGACAGCGATGATTTCTTGACTGAAATCCGCGTTTTGAACGAATCATTTTAACGATTCAATGAACAATCACTTGCAGTTCCTGAATGAATCAGCCGTTTGAACAAATCGTTTGAATGAATGACTGCCTGAGACAGTGACTTGCTGCCACTACTGGCGGGTTTAGTTTCACATTTAAAGTACCCTGTAATTAAAATGTTACAATTAGAAATCAGTTCATATTTAAATATTGAATTAAGAATTGAAAGAATTGAATATATCATAGCTTTATTTATGCAATTGTAAATGGAGTATAAATATATTAATGCCAGTTCTGATGCTGCTTCTGTGTCTCCTCTGCACTGCAAAGATGGATGTTGATTTAATGATTTAATATAACTGGTAACAGTGGTATTGTGTTATTATTCTAATATAATTTAATTTGAATGTTAAAAATTTGACATAAAAGGTGATGCATACCTCTAAGTAAAAAAAAAGAAAAAAAGTCCATATATGGGTGAAAATGCCCCTGGAACTCAATTTAAGGTTGCAAATATTGCCCTTTAATAAAAAAATGTTAATTCCTTTCACTGCTGTGAACTGACCACTGCATAGAATATGAAAAATATGAATATCTTTGTGAGTCAGCTGTCAACAACAGGCCTAAACCAGCCATGGTACCAGTACACAAACACAATCAGTAAAATATCATCTAATTATCATCAACAAAACTTTGAAAATATTGAGACATTTTTTTTTTCAATATTGCGCACCCCTAATGTAAGGTATTAATTTTGATTTCTTCAGGTCTTAAAAAGGTCTTAAAAAGCCTTAAATTTGACTTTAAAAAGTGTGCAGATACCCTGCTTGGGGACACCAAGTTGCTTTCTGATATGCCTGAAGCGCCATCACTTGATCTAGTTAGGGCAGTGGACCTGATCCAGGCACTACTTTAGATACAGAGAGGAATCCTATTTTGATGAGGTTTGGCAACACTGTGGACATTGCAAAGCAGTGTAATATTGCAGTTGAGGCTGTTTGCAAAGAGGGAGCTTAAGACTTGGTGGATTTCTTGTAGAGTCCACTATAGGACAGCGTAGGTGCAAAGAAGGGAACAAAGATACATTTAGGAAGGGTGTATTTAACCCTATTTTGGATCACTTAAATGCAGACATGCACTTTTCTCGAACCTTACAAAGAAGTGTTTTATCAGCTTTTCCGCCTTTGTCGAATATCTGTAGCCTTGCCCGTTAGCAGTGCCAGTTGCGAGCGCAGTTTCTTTGTGCTCGAGCTCATAAAAAAATCATTTGCACACAACACTAAGTGATGAGAGGCTGAGCAATATTGGTGTACTGAGCATTGAGGGGAGACGGAGAGCAAGATCATTGGACATGGATGACTTTGTTGGACGCTTTGCCCTCCATCACCGTAACAGGCGTATCCAGCTTTTATAATTCCTTGCTGTTGATGTTAAATTTGTGGTGTCAAACTTATTGACTGACAACATAAAAAAAGTTCTTGGCACTGAATGTTGTGTGAGTAACGGATTTCCCTAATAAATTATACTGCATTATTGGATCTTCTGTTTCCTTGAGTGTGGATCGTGACAGAAGGACTCCGTCATGCAAGGATCCAGCAGTACGGGTTTCCGAATCCGTCCCCCTACCACCAAGGAAGAAAGGAGGGGACGACTCAGTAATTTAATGGCTTTACGCCAACAGGGACAGTCGGTGGGTGGACTAGCTCAATTCTTTTGGACTCTCTCAAGAGGTATGGGTTACAATGAGGCGGCACTAAAGGACCTTTTTAATAATTGCCTTGATAACCCATTACCTCGATGTGAGATGATGGGGCTGGAGACTCTGGACTTCTGGGGGTTCACTAATTATCTGCAGAGACGTAGCCGGAGGATTATGTCAGACCGGTTTGGTTTTTCTGACAGGATGACTGAGTCCACATCAGCGTTTCCTGACGGGAGGGCGGACCCGGCACCTGTGTCTCCGGAGAGGATGGCCACCACCGAGCCAGTGTCTCCGTCGGCCGCAAAGCGAGACCCTCCGCGGACCGCACCATCAGCCAGCACGGCTGCCTCCTTTGGACACGTTCGAGGGTGGAGTGGACTGGTGTCCAAAGGGTGGACACCAGTCCAGGGTGGAGCCGGTGTCGCCTGTTCCCGAGCCGGAGCCGGTGTCGCCTGTTGCAGAGCCGGAGCCGGTGTCGCCTGTTGCAGAGCCGGAGCCGGTGTCGCCTGTTGCGGAGTCGGAGCCGGTGTCGCCTGTTCCCAAGCCGAAGGCGGTGTCGCCTGTTCCCGAGCCGGAGGCGGTGTCGCCTGTTCCCGAGCAGGAGGCGGTGTCGCCTGTTCCCGAGCCGGAGACGGTGTCGCCTGTTCCCGAGCCGGAGGCGGTGTCGCCTGTTCCCGAGCCGGAGGCAGTGTCGCCTGTTCCCGAGCCGGAGGCGGTGTCGCCTGTTCCCGAGCCGGAGGCGGTGTCGCCTGTTCCCGAGCCGGAGACGGTGTCGCCTGTTCCCGAGCCGGAGGCGGTGTCGCCTGTTCCCGAGCCGGAGGCGGTGTCGCCTGTTCCCGAGCAGGAGGCGGTGTCGCCTGTTCCCGAGCCGGAGGCGGTGTCGCCTGTTCCCGAGCCGGAGGCGGTGTCGCCTGTTCCCGAGCAGGAGGCGGTGTCGCCTGTTCCCGAGCCGGAGGCGGTGTCGCCTGTTCCCGAGCCGGAGGCGGTGTCGCCTGTTCCCGAGCCGGAGGCGGTGTCGCCTGTTCCCGAGCCGGAGGCGGTGTCGCCTGTTCCCGAGCCGGAGACGGTGTCGCCTGTTCCCGAGCAGGAGGCGGTGTCGCCTGTTCCCGAGCCGGAGGCGGTGTCGCCTGTTCCCGAGCCGGAGGCGGTGTCGCCTGTTCCCGAGCAGGAGGCGGTGTCGCCTGTTCCCGAGCCGGAGGCGGTGTCGCCTGTTCCCGAGCCGGAGGCGGTGTCGCCTGTTCCCGAGCCGGAGACGGTGTCGCCTGTTCCCGAGCCGGAGGCGGTGTCTGAGGTCGGGAGGTCGGGAGGTCTGAGGTCGCCTGTTCCCGAGCCGGAGGCGGTGTCGCCTGTTCCCGAGCCGGAGGCGGTGTCGCCTGTTCCCGAGCCGGAGACGGTGTCGCCTGTTCCCGAGCCGGAGGCGGTGTCGCCTGTTCCCGAGCCGGAGGCAGTGTCGCCTGTTCCCGAGCCGGTGTCGCCTGTTGCAGAGTCGGAGCCGGTGTCGCCTGTTCCCGAGCCGGAGGCGGTGTCGCCTGTTCCCGAGCCGGAGGCGGTGTCGCCTGTTCCAGAGCCGGGGCCGCCCGAGGGGTCTTCTTGTGTTGTGTTTTCTGTGTTTTTTTGTTGTTGTCGTGAAGCGTCTGGTAGCCGCTCCGTAGAGGGGGGGTTATGTCACAGTGTTGGTTTATGTTCCCTGGTGTCCACTAGAGGTCCTCTGTTCACCAGGTGTCAGTCACATTCAGAACTGCATTTCCCACAATCCTTGTCTGCACTCATCACTGTTCATTGTACCCAGCTGTTCCCCATCATGGTTGTTAGTTCTGTGTGTATTTATACCCTGTCTGTTTTAGTGTTTGTTACGGAGTCCTTGTCTTTCATCACACCATGTTCTGAGGTCTGTTCATGCTCGAGTTTTGTCAAGTCAAGTCAAGTCAAGATTGGATAAGAATATTTGTCCAGTTCCATCTGGTTGGAAGTTGGAGTCATCACGCCGGTATGGAGTTTGTTGAGGATCAGTGCCGATGGCTGTCGTGTCGATGAGGCCTTCACAGGGCAGATGAGGCTGGCACTTCAGGGATGCGTTGTGGATGGGTCCAGGCGCAGGTCCACCATCTGATCTGGATACGGCCCGGGTACGGCTGACTTCAGTAAACAGGGAAGGGACTGGTTGGCACTTCAGGACTGCGTTGTCATCGTGTCTAGGCGCAGGTCCTGTATCAGATCCGGATACCTGCCTGGATCCGGCAGATCCGGCCACCTTCTACTGTTGTCAATGAAGTTGCTGTATCTTGTTTACAACTAAATACATGTATGATGGCAAAAAATTCTGCTTCTACTACTGTTGAGTTATTTCATATCACATTTCAAATTATTTATTTTGAATTACTTTTCACAGAGAACAATACGTTTTGTTATCAATAAGATACATTATTATTACTTCCAATGTAGAGCTATTTATACTGGTTCACTGTTTACATGTATTTTAATGGGCCACCCCTCTCTGAGTCTGTCTCCTTCCTAAATCATAGTGTTTTATGGAAAAAAACTAGTTTTCTGTACTATTATTCTTGTTACATCTGTATGAGATGACCATGCACTGCTTGAGCGATGACACTGACACGAGTATTTTCACATTGTTGCTTTACTGTTCAGTTCATCTTGTATACAGTAACACTCAGTGTTTACTGCGCATGTGCAACACAACAGAGGATCAATACGGGTGTCGGAAGAACAACACATGCAACACTTACAATCCAATTGACAACCATTTAAACCGGTTCCCCTTGTCAAACAATCAAACTTCAATACTAATTTTACAATAAATTACTGTATTAAATGTAATTCCATCTTTTGCTTATTTACCAATTATGGAAGTGAACTTTGCTCACTTAGACACCTTCAGGCAATGCATTTTCTTATGTTTCTGTAGAGTAGATAAATGACTGAAACTCTTCCCACATGTAGAGCACTGGTGCGGTTTCTCTCCAGTATGAACTCTCTCATGATCTTTCAGGTTTCCTGAATGAGAGAAACTCTTTCCACAGTGTGAACACTTGTACGGTTTCTCTCCAGTGTGAACTCTCTGGTGTGATTTTAAGTTGCTGGATGAAGTGAAGGTCTTTCCACAGTCAGAGCACACATAAGGTTTCACACCAGTATGAATACGCTCATGCTCTTTTAAAGATCCAAGTTGTGAAAAACTCTTTCCACAAAACGAACAAAAGTGAGGCTTCACAGCAGCATGAACTTTAAGGTGTTCTCTTAAGCCTGATTCATAAACAAATGTTTTATCACACTGATCACAGCTGAATGATCTCAATCCAGAGTGACGGCGCAGATGATCATTGAGATGACTTTTTTGACTGAAACTCTTTCCACACTGCGAGCATGTGAACGGTTTTTCTCCAGTGTGAATTCTCATGTGATCATTTAGGTGTCCTTTGCGATTGAAACTCTTTCCACACTGAGAGCATGTATAAGGCTTTTCTCCAGTGTGAATCTTCATATGTGTGTTCAGGGTTGATTTACGTATGAAACTCTTTCCACACTCAGAGCAGGTTAAAGATCCTTCGGCTCCAGATTTTCCAGCTTGTTTCTGTGTGAAATTCTCTTCAGTCTTTGAAACGACTGCATTTCCATCTTCATTTTTGAAATAATGAGGTTTTTGAATGTGTTTGTCTTCATCCACTTCCATCAGGTCTAAAATAAACAAATTGAATTCCCATAATTTAATAAAAGGATACTTGAGAAACAAAAATAAACATTGTTCAAATCTCAATTTTCTACTAGTCTACTAGTATCTAGTTTTAGATGTTATTTTTATGTCAGTTTTCATCTTAATGTTCCTCATCAGTCATTAAAGAGAATGAAGGAAAATACCAACCTATTTGTTTCTCTGTATCTTCATCTTTTATTCTGCAGGGTTCTTCCTTAATCTCCATCTTTACAATAGTATGTCCGTAGTTTCTCCTGGAGTAATTCCTCCTGCTTGCTTCTTCTTCTCCTGTGGGAAGATGGGAATATTCCCCAGCATTTAAACTCTCATGAACGGCTGTGGGAGCTTCACTGACTGAAGGAGTGAATTGTGGTCGTTGTTGTTCATTTAGCAGATGATCATCACACTTACAATCACTCGAGATTATCCAGGTGTAATTGTTTTGCTCAAATAGTCGTTTAAAAACAATTCCATGATTACTGAATTTACACTTTTGTATCATATCAAGCCTCATTTTGACTTTGTCCCTCATGTTCCATGCCTTGTATTTTTCATTTCGTCTTTATATTGTGTCTTTCGTTTTGCCCTCTTTCTGTAAATATTGTATATACATCATTTTTCCTTTATTACTAAAGGGGTATCCCAGCAAACACAGAACGTTGGCCCAACTAACCCAACCTTCTAACAACATTTAAACAACATGGCCAAAAGGTTGCTTTAACTGCATTGTGTGGTGAAGGTTGTTGCAGCGTTGTCACAATGTTGACATTAAACCACCGTTCAGGGCCATCGCTTAAGGTTGTGCCTATCTTGTCTTGACAACCACTGGACGACATGTGTACTCATTCTTCATCGAGCAAGGATACGTGAGTATTGCGTTTAATTTACCTCAGCTAAATAAGATACATAATTATTCAAACACAACCTACAACTTAATTTTCCAATGTGACTAATGTAGCCTCACTCGCACTGTTTAGTTCTTCATTTGATTTGTCTGATATTTAGTCTCATTCGTTTCTTTGCTCCTCTGGATTTGTGGATGTTTCCTGGACTGATTCCGGTTACCGACCTTTATCGTCCGGCTTTCGACTACGCTCGCCTGTCTGCCATAGAGATGCTCACAAGTCTCTGAGCTAGCGTCCAAGTCAAGTCTCAAGTCTCTGAGCTAGAGTCCAAGTCAAGTCTCAAGTCTTTGAGCTAGAGTCCAAGTCAAGTCTCAAGTCTCTGAGCTAGAGTCCAAGTCAAGTCTCAAGTCTCTGAGCTAGAGTCCAAGTCAAGTCTCAAGTCTCTGAGCTAGAGTCCAAGTCAAGTCTCAAGTCTTTGAGCTAGAGTCCAAGTCAAGTCTCAAGTCTTTGAGCTAGAGTCCAAGTCAAGTCTCAAGTCTCTGAGCTAGAGTCCAAGTCAAGTCTGAAGTCTTTGAGCTAGAGTCCAAGTCAAGTCTCAAGTCTCTGAGCTAGAGTCCAAGTCAAGTCTCAAGTCTCTGAGCTAGAGTCCAAGTCAAGTCTCAAGTCTCTGAGCTAGAGTCCAAGTCAAGTCTCAAGTCTCTGAGCTAGAGTCCAAGTCAAGTCTCAAGTCTCTGAGCTAGAGTCCAAGTCAAGTCTCAAGTCTCTTGTGGTTATAAGTGTTGCATCACGTACAGCGACCCATCCAGGTTGCTTAGAACACTGCATAACTTTGTATAAGGAATTCAAAGCATGTAATATGTTAGGTTACACTTTATTTCGATAGTCCACTTTAGACATTCTACTAACCATGTACATTTTCAACTACATGTCAACTAACTCTCAGTAGACTGACTGTCAGGTTATGATGTGGGTTCGGGTTTGGAGAACAAGTTGACTTGTAGTTGCCAAGTTACTTATAGTCAGTAGAATATCTGTTGGGGAACCAACAAAATAAGATATTATAATATATAATTAGCAGATATTAAGCAGACAGCCTACTAATACTCTAATGAGAGTTAGTTAACATGCAGCTGCAAAGTTACTTATAGTTAGTAGAATGTATAAAGTGGACTATCAAAATAAAGTGGTACCATCTGTTATTATGACTCCTTTATCTATTAGCATACAGTATCAGCTTTGATTTTGGTATATAATCAGTGTAAACAGGCTATTGCAACATGACAAAAACACCAAGAATGCTTTACTTTTAGTTAATTTCTTTATTTTGCCTTGTAGCTTGCATACAGGCCATACGACCAAATATAGAAAATGATATAACTCACAACACTAAAATTGACACACTCCTATTTAGTGCAAAACATCAGTGTAGCTAAATGCAAATAAACTATTGCATCCAAATGAAATTTTTAACACTACAGTGCACTTCCAAAACATTAAAATGCTCAAAATCTTTAGTGTAAATGTGAAGCAACTGACCAACTTATGGCATGTAACTTGTTAAGAACAAAATGTTTAGAAATAAAAAAATCCAAAGGGTGAGATCAGACTGGTTAACCTTCTCTTCTCTCAACACACTAGGTATGGGCCACAAAACATTTCTGGCTTCTTCTGGCTGCAGAGCCTATGCAACTAATCATAGCTTATATAAGTCAACACATCCCAGACTCTCAAACCAGTGTAACGTTATAACTAAATGAAACAGTAACGTTACATGATCAACAATAAACCTGTTTGTAGACAATGGGCAGCCAGCGGCACGTAAATGATTAACGTTACGTTAATCGACCACCACAAGTTTGGCAATTAAACAAACGCTCATTCATATTTCATAAGGAAGACAGTCGGAGTTAACCTCTCGTAACGTTAGGTAGCTAAAGCAATAAGCAAGCTAACGGTAGATGGTGTCAGTCTCAAGTCGAGTCTGAAGTCACTGTGTGTGGGACTTAAGTCGCACTCGAGTCCGAGTCTCAAACTCGAGTCCCCATCTCTGCCATGTACAGAACCCGGTTTTGTTCATTAAATGTTCTTATCTTTGCTTTTTATGTTTTATTAATTATACTTAAAAGAAATTCTATATGCATTTATTTTGCACAAATGTATAACTTTTGGAAGTGCAATTTGATTACCATATGCAGTTTTAATAAAGTTGAATTAACGTAATCTTCTGTCATTTTTACTCTTCATAGTGTACACTTACAGATGTTGATTATAATTAGGCTAATTTACTGATAGCCCCATTAAACAATAATAAGGATAAACAATATTTAAAAAGTATATGATTATCAAACATCTGACTAAATTAACCTCAAAACATAAAATGCTAAATTGCCTATCTAGCATTTTTTTTTAAAGGGCTTGTGTGCTTTTTTCTTTTGATATGTTCTCCTGTGTTTGGTATAGCCAGGGAGACCACTGTTTATTTTATTATAGAGTTTGTTTCAGTGGGTTTAGTCAGTTTTTTATTTTATTTTTATCGGTTTGGCCCAACCCTGAAGACTTTGCTTCATATTTGTTTTTGGTGAAGCTGAAAGAAAAAAAGAAAAAAGAAAGAAAGTAACTGTTAAAACATTTTATTTGTTACTTTTAAATCTTCTAATCTCTTTATATCTCTCACATTTTTATTAATAATACTTGTACCATCTAACTTGAAAATGAAGTCAAGATTTATATTAAAATAAACAACATCAGTAACACAGAGTCCAGAGGGTAAATATAATTACAAACAGATATTTGAAGTATGATTCTCAAAATGATCTATTATGGTGAAAGTGAACAGCTGTGTCCCCTATAAGATGTCATTTCTAAATAAATACTTAATTATTCCAAATCAAATATGTTTATATATCAATAACAAAAGATTACAATAGATTATCGTGTTTGTTTTATATATGGGTTAAAGAGTTTAATTTGGTTTCTGCCAGTAGAGGCGCTCAAGCAACCGAAGCAATGATTTATATCATAATATTGTTTGCCAGGCTGTTAATAAATGGTTAATTGTTAGAGTATTATTCTCCAGAGTCTTTCTGGTAGAAATGCAGTGGGGTTGCATCAAGGATCAAAGCGGAGGCTAAACGTGCTTTTTACGTCCACTGCAAGTACATTGCCTCAACCTTGTTATTGTTAAGGCAGTGAAAGCAGTCCCAGTATGGGATGAATATAGTAGTAATAACCGCTTGAGCGATGACACTGACACGAGTATTTTAACATTGTTGCTTTACTGTTCAGTTCATCTTGTATACAGTAACACTCAGTGTTTACTGCGCATGTGCAACACAACAGAGGATCAATACGGGTGTCGGAAGAACAACACATGCAACACTTACAATGCAATTCACAACCATTTAAACCGATTCCCCTTGCCAAACCATCAAACTTCAATACTAATTTTACAATAAATTGCTGTATTAAAAGGTTATTCCATCTTTTGCTTATTTACAAGTTGTGGAAGTGAACTTTGCTCACTTAGACACCTTTCGGGCAATGCTTTTTCTTATGTTTCAGTAGAGTAGATAATTGGGTGTAACTCTTCCCACATGAAGAGCACTTGTACGGTTTCTCTCCAGTATGAACTCTCTGGTGTGTTTTTAAGTGGCTGGATGAAGTGAAGGTCTTCCCACAGTCAGAGCACATATAAGGTCTCACACCAGTATGAATACGCTCATGCTCTTTTAAATGTTCCAGTTGTGAAAAACTCTTTCCACAAAAAGAACAAACGTGAGGCTTCACACCAGCATGAACTTTAATGTGTTTTCTTAAGCTTGATTCAAAAACAAATGTTTTATCACACTGATCACAGCTGAATGATCTCACTCCAGAGTGACAATGCAAATGAATGTTGAGATTACTTTTACGACTGAAACTCTTTCCACACTGAGAGCATGTGAACGGTTTTTCTCCAGTGTGAATTCTCATGTGATAATTTAGGTGTCCTTTATGTCTGTAACTCTTTTCACACTGAGTGCATGTAAAAGGCTTTTCTCCGGTGTGAATCATCATGTGTTTGTTCAGGGTTGATTTACATACAAAACTCTTTCCACACTCAGAACAGGTTAAAGATCTTTTGACTCCAGATTTTCCAGCTTGTGTTTGTGTAAAATTCTCTCCAGTCTTTGAAACGACTGCATTTCCATCTTCATTTGTGAAATTAGGAGGTTTTTGAAACTGATGCTGTTTGTCTTCATTCACTTCCATCAGGTCTAAAATAAACAAATTAAATTCCCATAATTTAATAAAAGGATACTTGATACTTGAGAGATACTTGAGAAAATAAAAATTGTTCAAAATCTCAATTTAGCACAAATCCAGTTTACTACTGAGTCTACTAGTATCTAGTTTTAGATGTTATTGTTATATGTTATATGTCAGTTTTCATCTTAATGTTCATCATCAGTCATTAAAGAGAATGAAGGAAAACACCAACCTATTTGTTCCTCTGTATCTTCATCTTTTATTCTGCAGGGTTCTTCCTTAATCTCCATCTTTACAATAGTATGTCCGTAGTTTCTCCTGGAGTAATTCCTCCTGCTTGCTTCTTCTTCTCCTGTGGGAAGATGGGAATATTCCCCAGCATTTAAACTCTCATGAACGGCTGTGGGAGCTTCACTGACTGAAGGAGTGAATTGTGGTCGTTGTTGCTCATTTAGCAGATGATCATCACACTTACAATCACTCGAGATTATTCAGGTGCAAATGTTCTGCTCAAATAGTCATTTAGAAAAAAATCCATGATTACTGAATTTACACTTTGAGCTCAATATCAAGCCTCATTTTGACTTTGTCCCTCATGTTCCATGCGTTGTATTTTTCATTTTGTCTTTTTATTGTGTCTTTCGTTTTGCCCTTTTTCTGTAATTATTGTATACATACTAGGGTTGGGCGATGTCTACCAATTTGGCATCAGACAATGTCTACAGTGAAACATAGCGATGGACGATGATGTCGGGAGGGGGAGGGGGGGTATTTTCGTAATATTATCATTTTCCACTAGATATTTTCCTCTATATCTCATCAGCAATTTCGATGTCGGCAGCTCTGCAGCAGCTGAGCACTAAGGAGCGAATATACAGTGACTTGACATCACTGCCAGATTCAAACTGCGTGCTTTCGCGCTATGGAGCCAGCCCTGGCGCTGTGCCAAAGACGGACGCGCTCAGCGCTTGTCATAGGCTATATCACAACTGTTCAGTGTTAACCACATAATGTTTATTTTAGGTTTCAGACAGTTAAATACATATAATCTATAGCAAAACAATACATTTATAGTTTGTAAAATACACAATGGTGTCTATGGAAGCAGCAATAACAACCCATTCAAATATAGGCTATTTGACAACGGTTTTTATTCATATCAGAGAGACACAGTGTAGCATTAAATAACTATAATGTCAACTCAAGTTTTCTCCCAGTTCACCGGCCACTTACTTTCATGTTTTTCGGGAGAAACTGGTGAATTCACGCGCTGTAATAAATCCAACAGACAGAAATCTCTGAACTGCGGCCCAAACACGGCGCCCATCTCACGTTACAGATCAAGATAATTTATAAAGTTTTTTTAAACGACAAAAACTCACTTACACATATTTGAGAATCGGAATAGAAGATAGTTCATGACATGGTAAGCAAGTTTGTTAATATTTAGAAATAAAAGCGCTAAATCTGTCACACAGCGCTATTTTGGCTGTGGTGAATCACGTGCCAAGCAGGACGCGTCACCATGGAAACGGGACACACGATGTTTAGCCGATGCCGTCTAAACATCGTGATGTCTGTCAGCCATCGTCCATCGGCACAACCCTAATACATACTTTTTCCTTTATTACTGAAGGGGTATCCCAGCAAACACAGAACGTACCCAACCTTCTAACAACGTTTTAACAACATGGCCAAAAGGTTGCTTTAACTACATTGTGTGGTGAAGGTTGTTGCAGCGTTGTCACAATGTTGACATTAAACCACCGTTCAGGGCCATTGCGTTGTGCCTATCTTGTCTTGACAACCACTGGACGACATGTGTACTCGTCACTGCCCTGAAGCGCGAAAATCAGCCTTTTAAATGTCAACTGCCCATTGGGCTCATTGTGTTTACACATTCTTCATTGAGCAAAGATACGTGAGTATTGCGTTTAATTTACCTCAGCTAAATAAGATACGTCATTATTCAAACACTACCTATAACTTCATTTTCTGAGTGAGACGGACTCACTCAAAAAATACTACAGTGCCTGGAAAAGTATGGCCTTGACTATAAATCAAATCTTGTAGGTCAAGGTTATGATGGGGCAGAAGTGATGTCAGGGAAATGCAGTGGGGTTGCATCAAGGATCAAAGCGGAGGCTAAACGTGCTTTTTACGTCCACTGCAATGCACATTGCCTCAACCTTGTTATTGTTGATGCAGTGAAAGCAGTCCCAGAGGCTGATTGTTTTTTTTTATTGCTGCAGAAATTGTATGTGTTTATGTCAGGCTCTTATGTTCAGGCATGTAGAAATCTCACGGACAGACTTCAAGATGTACTACGTGTACTTCATGAGATATATGTGGAGAACAGTGGGGAAACATCTGTGGAGGCACGAGGCCTACTTACTCAAATTAGACCTCACTTTTATTGAAACACTTGCAGTATTTAGAAAGATTCTTGGGGACACCAAGTTGCTTTTTGATATGCTTGAAGCACCATCATTTGAACTAGGATCTTAGGGCAGTGGACCTGATCCAGGCACTACAGGACACTTACATACATTTACATTTAGTCATTTAACAGACGCTTTTATACAAAGCGACTTACAACTGAGGACTAAACCAAGCAAGTCATCATGAAAAGGCAAAAACAACGCAAGAAGTGCTCAAAATACCAAGTTCGGACATTGCTCGGAGTAGCACAAATTTTATTTTTTATTTTTTTATGTTAAGTGCTCACGGAAGGTTAGGGTTAGGGTTAGAGTTTTCAATTGTCTTTTGAATGCTGTCAGGGATTCTGCATTCCGGATGAGGGTGGGCAGATCAATCCACCAGCATGGTACCGTGAATGAGAATGTTCTGGAGAGTGATTTTGTGGCTCTCTGTGATGGTACCACGAGCCGCCGCTCATTGACCGATCGTAGGCTTCTGGGAGGGATGTAGACTTGTAGTAGTGAGTGAAAGTAGGAGGGAGCTGAGCCTGTGGTCAATCTGTAAGCAAGCGTCAACACCTTGAACTTGATGCGAGCAGCGAGTGGTAGCCAGTGCAGAGAGATGAACAGAGGAGTGACGTGGGCCCTTTTGGGCTCGTTGAAGACAAGACGAGCTGCAGCATTCTGGATCATTTGTAGAGGTTTAGTTGCACATGATAGAAGTCCAGCCAGAAGAGCATTGCAGTAATCCAGCCTAGATATGACCAGGGCCTGGACGAGAAGTTGTGTTGCATGCTCAGTTAGGAAAGGCCTGATCTTCCTGATGTTGTGCATAGCAAACCTGCATGATCGAGCTGTCTTTGTAATGTGGTCTGTGAAGGTCAGCTGATCATCAAAGATTACTCCAAGATTTCTGACCGACCTTGATGGGGTGATTGAGGAATAATCTAGCTGGATAGTGAAGTCATGCTGTAGAGACGGATTGGCAGGGAGGACGAGAAGCTCAGTCTTTGCCAGGTTGAGCTGCAGGTGATGTTCCTTCATCCATTCCGAGATATCCGCCAGACAGCTTGAGATCCGTGCCGCTACTGTGGGATCATCTGGTTGAAATGAGAGGTAGAGCTGGGTGTCATCAGCATAGCAATGGTAAGAGAAACTATGTGCCTGTATGATGGGTCCCAGTGATGTGGTGTAAATGGAGAAGAGGAGCGGTCCAAGAACTGAACCCTGGGGAACCCCTGTGGTCAGTTGATGTGCTTTGGATACCTTGCCTCTCCATGTGACCCTGAAGGACTTATCTGTGAGATAGGACTCAAACCAGTGGAGGGAAGTTCCAGTGATGCCCCGTGATGAGAGGGCGGACAAAAGGATCTGATGTTTCACAGTGTCGAAGGCAGCAGACAGATCAAGGAGAATGAGAACTGATGATTTAGAAGCAGCTTTTGCGATCCGCAGGGCTTCTGTGACCGACAGTAGAGCAGTCTCGGTTGAATGCCCTTTCTTGAAGCCAGATTGGTTGACATCCAGCTGGTTGGTCAGAGACAGGAAGGGTGACACTTGGTTGAAAGCAACTCGTTCAAGTGTTTTTGCAATGAATGGTAGGAGAGAGACAGGTCTGTAATTTTCTAAAAGTGATGTGTTTAATGTTGTTTTTTCAAGCAGTGGAGTTACCCGAGCCTGCTTAAATGCTGTAGGGAAAATGCCAGTGTGGAGGGATGAGTTGATGATGTGTGTGAGTGCTGGTAGAAGTGTGGGAGCGATGGCTTGTAGAAGGTGTGAGGGGATGGGGTCTAGAGGGCAGGTGGTAGGATGACTGGAGAGGAGAAGTTTAGATACTTCTTCCTCGGTTAGTGGAGAGAATGAGGAGAGAAGGTTTTTGGCTGTGGGAGAGTATGGTCTGAGTTCCTGAGTGTGTGAAGCTGAGAACTGACTGCTGATAGTAGTTGTTTTGTTGGTGAAGAAGTTAGCAAAATCATCAGCAGTTAAAGAGGAGGTGGGTGGTGGCGGAGGTGGACAGAGGAGAGAGTTGAATGTCTTGAAAAGTGTTCGTGTGTTAGAGGCGCTGTTGATCTTGTTGTGGAAATATGAAGATTTTGCGGCGTGAACATCAACAGAGAAGGCAGAGAGCAGAGATTGATACCTACTGAGGTCAGATGTGTCTTTTGATTTGCGCCATTTCCTCTCCGCTGCCCTGAGTTCGATCCGGTGTTCACGAAGAACCTCAGATAACCAGGGGTTAGAGGGAGTAGCGCGTCCTGGCCTAGAGGAGAGAGGGCAGATATTGTCTAAAGAAGAGGTTAGGATGGAGCATTAAGTATCCGTTGCGGTATTCACATCCAGACATGAGAAATGCGAGGGTGAGGGAAGAGAAGATGACACAGCAGAGGAAAGATGGGACGGAGAAAGTGAGCGCAGGTTTCGTCTGAAAGTAACTGGTAGGGGAGTTGGTGGTGCATGGGTAGTGAGTTGTAGATTGAAAGTAATGAGGAAATGGTCTGAAACGTGGAGAGGTTTCACCAAAATGTTGTCTGTGATGCAGTTGCCTAGATGCAGTAGACCAGGTCCAGTTGGTTGCCTGACTTGTGAGTACCTGTGGTGATGAGCTGTTTGAGATCGAAAGAGGCTAGGAGAGAGATGAAGTCTGTTGCATACGGCTTCTTTCACGAGTTCACACTTACATCAATTAAACAGAGTAAAGATTATGCGTATTTGGCGTGCTGTCCGGGGGGAGGGCTCCGAGCTCGGAATTTTGCCCGAACCCAGAGTACTCCCCCCGTTGTTGTAAGAGTATTAGGACTATAAGTGAGGAGATGGGGTGGTGGAGGGATGCTGTTAAACTGTCAATGAACGGAGGTTAGTTTGCTGTATATATACACAGCGCTTAACTCGTTGATTAAGCACCACTCTTGTCTAATTAGGTTTGATTATCTGAATGTGCTCCACGTGTGTTTAATTAGGTTTAATTATCTGAACGTGCTCCTCCCGAACTTTGTTAATAAAACATCATCTAGATGAATGTTGAAATCGCCAAAGACTACAAGTGGGGTGCCATCCTCAGGTATACAGAGAGGAATCCTATTTTGATGAGCTTTGGCAACACTGTGGACATAGCAAAGCAGTGTAATATTGCAGTTGATGCTGTTTGCAAAGAGGGAGCTTAAGACTTGGTGGATTTCTTGTAGAGTCCACTATAGGACAGCGTAGGTGCAAGGAAGGGGACAAAGATACATTTAGGAAGGGTGTATTTTACCCTATTTTGGATCACTTAAATGCAGATATGAAGAGGTGTTTTAGCAAAACCAACTGTGATTATTATGAGGGGTATACAAGCACTGAACCCCTAGAATAATAGCTTTTTGTCAGAGGAAAGTGTTTTAGGTTTGGCAAGCCTGTATGAATGTGATCTTGAGGATCTCAAAAGAGCTGCATCAGGCAAGGAAGGTTGTTCAGAGTAAAGCACAGTGTGGAAATGACCTGTCCAGTGTTTTGGATTTACCACTTTTCTCGAACCTTACAAAGAAGTGTTTTATCAGCTTTTCCGCTTGTGTCAAATATCTGTAGCCTTGCCCGTTAGCAGTGCCAATTGTGAGCGCCGTTTCTCGGTGCTAAAGCTTATAAAAATTAATTTGCTCACAACACTAAGTGATGAGAGGCTGAGCAATATTGGTGTACTGAGCATTGAGGGGAGACGGAGAGCAAGATCATTGGACATGGATGACTTTGTTGGACGCTTTGCCCTCCGTCACCGTAAGAGGCATATTCAGCTTTTATAATTCCTTGCTGTTGATGTTAAATTTGTGGTGTCAAACTTATTGACTGACAACAATGGCGAAAAAAGGAAAAGGCGGCACGGGCGCACGCAGCGGCTTGGCACTTTCCCTTGCTTAGCAGTTTTTTGGTGAAGTACACTCGATCTACACTTTTGATGAAAAGAAACGGCAGCTCAGTATATGTACCTGGCAACTTTGGAACATTGCCAGCATGTCAGACTTGGAAATATTACCTCCTCCACCACCATCCTCAACACTGGCACTCCCCAGGGTTGTGTTCTTAGTCCACTCCTTTACTCACTATTCACCTATGACTGTTTTCCCATTCATGACTCAAACTCCATTTTCAAATTTGCAAATGACACAGCTGTGGTGGGGCTGGTAACCAACAATGAGGAGATCACTGGTATTATGGTGTAGCAGAAACAACTTAATCCTCAACATAAAGAAAACAAAAGAAATCATAATTGATTTTAAGAAAAGTAAAAACAACAGACATGACAGTCTTGAGATACATGGAAGAGGAGGTGGAACAGGTCCAAAGCTTCAGATATCTAGGGCTGCATCTGGCGGAGGATCTGACCTGGGGAGTGAACACCAAAGAGATAGGGAAAAAAGCTCAGCAGAGACTCTTTTTCCTGCGAACCCTAAGAAGCACTGGGCTCCCGCAGACACTCACAAACTTCTACAGGTGCACAATAGAGAGTGTGCTGGCATACAGCTGCACAGTGTGGTTTTCCAGCTGCACAACTGAGGAGAAAAAAGACTTGCAGCGGGTGTCACATGTCTGTCCTGTCCTGTGCTGCACATGGGTGTTTTGTTATTTTGGGCCATGTGCTCGTGTCATTGTCTGATCCCTCCCCCTTTTTATCTGATTATTGGTTATTTTGTCCCACCTGTCCTGCTCGTTACCTTCCTTTGTTTGTTCCCCTATTTAGTCTCCTTGTGGTTGTAGTCCTGTGCTTGTTCGTTACCTGCTTTTTGTTATATTCTGGATTTATTTTCTACTTTTCAGTAAACATTCATTCTCTGCATTTGAGTCCTCGCTCTCCTTTCCACAACCACCCCGTGACAGAACGAACAAGCCATCATGAGGACTCATCGGAGGAGGAACTCAAAGGAACCACCGGTCCTTCCTTTGTCATGCCCGTTATACGAACGGATTGTGAAATTCAGGGAATTGGCCTCTCTTCGGGAACAGGGGACTAAGGTGAAGGACTTTGCCAAGAAGTTCACTGCAGCGGCAGAGGGATTAAAGCTTAGTGAGGGGGCTCTGAAAGATCTATTTAATTATGCACTTGATGAGCCCATACCTTTTGGTATTATGAGAGGTTTGCAGAGGTTGACGTTTGGGGAATTTATAAGACTCCTTGAACGTCACGAAGATCCTCCTGATTCAGTGGGCCGGGAGAACCTATTTTTGGTGGTCCAAGGTGATCCGACTTTGGTGGTCCCAGTTCCGGTGATCCCAGGTCCGGTGGTCCCGATTCCCGTGGTCCCGAGTCCGGTGGTCCCAGTTCCGGGGATCCCAGGTCCGGTGGTCCCGAGTCCGGTGGTCCCGAGTCCGGTTGTCCCGAGACAGAGGAGGAGAAAAGCCTCCTCAACGACTTGTTCGGTGACTCCTAACCCAGAGGCCATCCCGGAGGTGACTGCTATCCCTGACGCGCCACCCAGGCACCTTGCTCTGCCTGCGCCGCCCTGGCGCCCTGCTCGCCCTGCCGGCTCCGCTCAAGCTGCTCGCCCTGCCGGCTCCGCTCAAGCTGCTCGCCCTGCCGGCTCCGCTCAAGCTGCTCGCCCTGCCAGCTCCGCTCAAGCGTCTCGCCCTGCCGGCTCCGCTCAAGCTGCTCGACCTGCCGGCGCCGCTCAAGCTGCTCGCCCTGCCGGCGCCACCCCAGCGTCCCGTCACGTCTGCCAATCCAGAGACCGTTCACGTCACGTCTGCCGATCCAGAGACCGTTCACGTCACGTCTGCCGATCCAGAGACTGTTCACGTCACATCTGCCGATCCAGAGACTGTTCACGTCACTTCTGCCGATCCAGAGACTGTTCACATCACGTCTGCCAATCCAGAGACTGTTCAGTGTCTCCGGACAAGATGGCCGCTGCCATGCCTGTGTCTGTTCCTGAGCCGGTGTCTGTTGCTGTTCCTGAGCCGGGTTCTGTTCCTGTGCCGTGGCCGCCCGAGGGGTCCTCACCGCCGTGGCCGCCCGAGGGATCCTCACCGCCATGGCTGCCCGAGTGGTCGTCTTCACCCTAGTGTTAATTTTACTAGCCATTTTTAAATTTAGTTTCAGTTTTAGTCCAGTTTCAGCATCGCTTGTTAGTTTTTATCACATTTAGTCGACATCATCCCATTTTTATTTAGTCTAGTTTTAGTCGACTATAAGTCGAGCATTTTAGTCTTTATTTCAGTCCAAGAAAACGTAATTTTATTCGTTTAGTTTTAGTCAACAACAACTGTCAACATTTTAGTCTAGTTTTAGTCAGGACATCATTTTAACCTTTTACTTTTTTGTCAGCAGATAATATTTAACATTTCCTAAAATTATTTCACATTTCAACATTTTCTCTCATCTTTTTGATAAAAAAAACACAATTTTAAGGAACACATGCAGACATGGAAGATGTTCTGACAATATTTGCATATTTATTTTGAACATTGTTAAGGTTCAAAGACACAAACACAAATGCTTGCATTAAAACAAATAAAATACACCTGACAAAGGAAACAAATAAATAAAATAAAATAAAGTTTCTTATGAACGTAACACAAGTGCTGGCTGTTTAAAGCTAGTTCACATAGAATAATAAAATAAATAGATTTGAGGTCAATGTTGTGAAAAAAAAAAACTCCAACTGATACAACAAAAGTGCTTTCCTGCCAGCTAGTTCACATGGTATATAAAGGTACAGTATTTAAGGTGAAACAAGGCATAGCTTGCTAGAACGTATGAAATCTTTTTAACTTGCAAATAAACTGAACAGGAATTAATTTTTAATCACAGTTGTACACGTTTTAACATTTAAACTACAAAAATTCAACAGTCATGCCAACAAAAGGCAAGACCTATATGTGTTCAAATCCAATTCAAACATTAAAATGAATTCAAGTACCAGACTCAAATTGGAGCCAGAGCCCCACACTCACTCTCTGTGTTTGTCTGTCTGTCTCTGTTAGTCTGTCTCTCTGTTTGTCTGTATGTCTGTCTCACATTCATTGTCTCTCCACATGTAGTTACAACATGCAGAAGTTGCTCACATTAGTATAATACTGCTCTATAAAGCTGCTCTTGTAAACAGTGTTTGGTGTTGTTGAAGGAACCTGAAAAATTATACAATACTAATTTTACAACAGTTCCTGATTGCCATCACACACAGTATATTTAGACCTTATTTAGCTTGAGAAAAGCACTTCTTTCCAATGTGGTTCTTGCTCTGTTGCGATGGCCAGTTGAGAGGTCACCAGTTACACTGAAGACACGCTCAGCAAAGGCTTGTGACGCTGGCATTGCCAGAAGGTCCAAGGCCAAAGGTTTCAGAAGCTCAAACACAGTGTCACTCTGAGAAGACCAAAACTCCATCCCTTCCTGAGCGTCAGCAGCTTCGGACAACATGTCTTTGTATTTCTGAATCTCCTGCCTGATATACCCCCTTTCCACCAAAAACGAACTGGTTCGGAACTGGTGCTGGTTCAAAGTTGGTTCGGAGTTGGTTCAACTTGCGAACCTTCTCAGAACCTGTTTGTTTTTCCACTGACTAGAGCGCCCAGCGAACGACGTCGTTACGTCACTGTGTACGTCGCCATACATCTTAGCTAGAAACGCTTGCAAGTACAACATTACTTTGGGATTATCTCTAACTCATGAACCAAGAAGGCTTTAAAAACAATTGAAATATGTAAGTCTTTTAATCTTTTCCTTTGATATGTAATCTTTTCTGATTAATTATGTACTCCTGTCTTGTCTTTTTTTTTCTTTCCATTTATTTGTTCTATATTATGACTGTTTTCTCCTTTGCTTAGGCTACATATCTTTAAAAAAAAAAAACTAGAAACGCTTGCGCCAACTTCAAGCATAACAATTACAATGGCGAACTACATCGTGTTTCTGCAAATGTTTCTCCTGGCTTTGCGATCCTATTATGTCAGAAAATATGTTATCTAAACCCGCCCCCAGCCCCCCGACGTAAGCATGACGTGGTAAAAGAACGGTTCTAGTCCAGCAAAGAGTTGGTGCCGCTTTGGAACCAGTTTTCCTGGCCGAGAACCGGTTCTTTGGCTGTCGAAACACAAAGAACTGGTTCGCGCGCAGGCACCGGCTCCGAACCGGCTCTCAAAATGCGTTGGTGGAAAAAGGGTAATAGAGGCCCTGGACTCGGTCCTGGGCCTTGCTGGATGACTGGGACTGAAAAATCTAAATCTAGGCCGCTTTGGCAAAGGGGCTGTCTCTGTGGTCTCTGTCTGCCCGTTTTCCTCTCTATCAGTCTCCTCCTCACGGATTCTTGGTGTCGCACTGCGAATGATGTAGTCTTCAGCTTTTTTCAGAAGATCCTGAATTTCCTCGTTCTCATTCTGAACAAGGACATCTGCTGACACCCTGGGGTCAACTAAACATGCAGCTGCAGCAAGAGGAGAGAACCTGTCATCTGTGACATCAAGGAAAAGGCCAAAGCGTAGCTCCATATTTGCACTCATCTTCTGTGCTAGTGTAGCTGCATCCTTGTAGCTCTGGCATCGGGAGAACTCGGAGAGGTGACCTCTCAAGTCCAACAACGCAGGCACAATGAGGGGGAATTGGTGTCGCTTTCAAGTACCTTTGTGTGTTCTGCAAATGGAAGCAGCAAGTCCTTGAGGATTGCCAGCTTCTGCCACTCACTGGGTTGCAGGCTGTCCCAGTTCATGCTCTCAGCTACCGATGCAACATGGTCCTTCACTTCAAGAGCACGAGACAGCATTGAATAAGTACTGGACCATCTGGTTGGACAGTCACTGGTGAGGGTGAGTCCACACTTTCCCAGTAACCGCTCTATGGCAACAGATGACTTGCGGAATAGCCTCACCAGGTGCCTGAGTTTGTCCAGCAGTTTCTTTATTGCAGGCTCCTTCTGGATCATGTTGACAACAAGCTGAAGGGTATGGACCACGCAGGGTGTCCTCTCCCATGTTCCATACCTAATGAAAAGAAAGTGGAACACAGCATTAGCACATACTTATCACTCATACACAATACTAAAATGTCTGATTACAGATGACATTTTAGAATACAAAACAGTGAAATCTTATCTATCTACTGCAGCACCAGTATTATACTAACACACTATGGCCTAAGATTTTTTATTTATCACATTGCATATCAGGCTTCCATAAAATGAGATAAGTTGTACTAATCCCTGCAAACATCATGCACACATACTGACCTTTCAATGCTTTCATCAACATCAAGGTCCTTTGCCTCTTCATCACTATCCTGACTGTCCTCCTCAAAGCTGGATTCGTTGTCCTCACTGTTGCGACGAAAAGCAGCAACCATGTTGCTCCCATTATCTGTGATGATAGTGAGGACTTTTTCTTTTGGGATTCCCCATTCTGTTGTGCACTCCTCCACAAGAGTCGCGATAGCATGAGCAGTGTGTGGGTGAGCCATTTGCTTTAGGCTCAGGAGTATGTGTTCTGCCTGATTGTTGTCAGAGTTAAAATAACAAGCGCTAATTGCATGGTAGGAAGCTGTGAGACCCTTTTTGGTCCAAATATCTAAGCCAATGCTTATTCTGCGTGCCACAGACAGTCTTTGTTTGAATTTGTCCTTTTCTGACAGGTATACTTGGACCACAATGTTTTTAATTTTAGTTTTTTTTTTGGAACAGTGAGCCTTTTATCAATCTGATCCATCATCTTGACAAAATCCTCACTTTCCACAGTCCGTGAAGGGAGGCCTGTTCGGCCTATCCACAGTGCTATGGCTTCCTCTTTGAAACGTTGGTCCTGAGAGTCAGCTTTGTATTTGGTGTGGGCAATTAAGGAAGCTTGTATAGCTGGCCTGTCATTGTTTCTGGGTGGCTGGTAGGTTGTTGGTGGTGGTGTATCTTCAATCTGGAACAGAAATTAATACAATGTCAGGATAGATGCACAGCATAACAGGAATTCCAAGTGTATAAGTAGCATATAGGTCTGTTTTTTTCCTTAACAAAAACTAAGTCTCTGTAAAAACTACATTTGACAATCCATTTCAACTCATACAAACAACCTAACTATCATTTTATGCAGGAATAAACTGCAGACATTTTTATGTGTGCATGCATTTTGGTTGTATTAATATTGATGCCAATTCAAATCAAATGTCCTTGTAATAGTAATGTGCAGATAAACAGAGCAGCATTTTATGTCACCAAATAAAGACATTGGGAGTTTGCATCCCAATCCCTGCAGTGGTTCCCCTAGCAATGGCTATTTTGTGTATGAAAATCTAGGTTAAAGTTGTTCTGAATTATGTGAGGCGTATTATTTTTATTTTGTCTTATCCTGATAAATTGTTTCAGTTCGTTTTAGCATTTAGCATACATGTGTAGCTGCCGAGGTGTTTTGTGTTAACTATAGTTCACTTGCAGCTCCTAGATTACCTAAAGCGTCTGTCTGCTTTAATCAAACTTGCAATTTAAGTGAAACTATAGTTGCCCGGCCAGTATAACATATCTAAGTTAGCATAAATTTAACTTCACATACAATTCTATCAACAAGTGGCTACGGTCGCTACGTGCTAAGAAGCTAACGTAACGTAGCCAGCCTGGATACTAAATGCTATGAAAGTTAGCCAACATTAGTTAGTTTATCATTGGGATATTATAGCCGTTGATTTAATGTTACATTATAAACAACAACCACCAATCTTTCTGTTAACTTACCACAATGTCTTTGTGGTGAACTGCGACGTGTCTCTTCAGGTTTGTTGTGTTTTTTCCAGCTACCATGTGGCCACATTCCTTCCCTTCGACTAAAATCAAGCATTTGGTTTTGTTCTCCACTTCAATGAAGCGAAAATGTGTCCATATATCACGTCTCCTCTTTCTCCCGAGCCCCGTGCAAAGCACGTTTTACTTTTAACCTGTCGCCGCCTCGCCGTGAATCCAGCTCCTGTCTGCTCCATGTGTTGTGTAGGCTACTCTGTGCCCGGCCCGCCCGCTCCAGGTTTGAAAGTGGGTGTGTGGCGGAAGAGCTGACGAGGAGGAGGCGGAGGAGGAGACAGGATTTGACAAAACCATATCATATAATAATAATAATAATATGTAATTTTCGTCTCGTCTTTGTTCGTGAACTAAAATGTCCATAGATTTTAGCCCAGTCTTTTATTTACCGAACTGCATTTTCGTCTCGTCTTTATTAGTCCAAAATTATTTCTGATTTACTCCCAGTTACTGTTTATTAGTGGGGATTTTAGTCTCGTCTCGTCTAGTTTTCGTTCGGTGAAAAATGACGAAATATTGACGAAAATATTTTCGTTTAGTTTTCGTTAACGAAATTAACACTACTTCACCCTGGCCGCCCGAGGGAAAGTCTCCGCCCTGGCCGCCAGATGGACTGTCGTCTCCACTCTGGCCGCCCGATGGACTGATGTTTCTGCCCTGGCTGTCTGCACAGCCTGCTCCACCCTGGCCTCCCGAACTCTGCGAGCCGCCCTGGCCCCCCGAACTCTGCAAGCCGCCCTGGTCTCCCAAACCTAAACATTTTGTCTCGCCCTGGTCTGTCCCTCCAGTCGCGCCCTGGTCTGTTCCTCCCGTCCCGCCCTGGTCTGTCCCTTCCGTCTCGCCTTGGTTGTATGGAGCTACTGGTAGTCGCTCCGTAGGGAGGGAGTAATGTCACATGTCTGTCCTGTCCTGTGCTGCACATGGGTGTTTTGTTATTTTGGGCCATGTGCTCGTGTCATTGTCTGATCCCTCCCCCTTGTTATCTGATTATTGATTATTTTGTCCCTCCTGTCCTGCTTGTTACCCTCCTTTGTTTGTTCCCCTATTTAGTCTCCTTGTGGTTGTAGTCCTGTGCTTGTTCGTTACATATGATGTCTACTCGTGTTCTGATTCTTGACCTGTTCCGTTACCTGCTTTGTTTTGTTATATTCTGGATTTATTTTCTACTTTTCATTAAACATTCATTCTCTGCATTTGAATCCTCACTCTCCTTTCCACAACCACCCCGTGACAGAGGGTAATTAAAACTGCCCAGAGAATCATTGGTGCACCTCTCCCAAGCCTTGAGGACATCTATTCCAGTAGGCTGCAGAGAAGAGCAGCAAGCATCAGGGCGGATCCTACACACCCTGGCCATACCCTGTTTGGCACCCTTCCCTCAGGCAGGCTCAGGGTCATGAGGGTGCAGACAAACCGCATGAGAAATAGTTTTTTTCCAAAGGCCATAAATGAGCTGCTGAAAGGCTAAAAGGTTGGAAGATTAATCAAATCTGGACTTGAATCATACTGTGTTTTTAAATGTACTGGTTTTCTTATTCTTGTTTTAAAATTTGTATTCTATTTTTATACTATATATTTATCTATTAACTGTTGTTGAAAATGTTACCTTCTATCCTTTAGGCTGCTAACTGAGTGATTGATGTCATCTTAATTTCATTGTGTAGAGATATGCACTGACAATAAAACTATCAAATCAACATAAAAAAAGTTCTTGACACTGATGTCACTTCAAATTAACATAAAAAAAGTTCTTGGCACTGATGTCACTTAAACGTTGGTTCTTTGCAACTTCTAGACAATGTATTTTCCATACTGTTCTTCTTTAATGTAATAAAAAATATGGCAGACTTTTAAAAGCTTAATTGGTCCATGTCTTGAATCTGTTTAATATAAATATGATATGAATAAACACTGCTACAGCTTCTTGCTGAGCTCAAAAGTCAAGTCACCTTTATTTATATTGCGCTTTTTATTATACAGATTGTATCAAAGAAGCTTCACTGTGATAACATAAAAATAATATAAGAAGTTTGTTTCTTCAACGAAAATTGCGTCATCGTCCACATTAAGTAAGGCAGATCAATAATATAGTTGAATATTAAATGTCCCCAACTAAGCAAGCCAAAAGCCAAGGCAACAGTGGCAGGGAACCAAAAATCCATCAGTGACAGAATGGAGAAAAAAACCTTGGGTGAACCCAGGCTCAGTCGGGGGCCAGTTCTCCTCGGGCCAATGAGCGAACAGTTTATGATTATGATTCAGGCAGCATTACAAGTCAGAACTCAGATTGGATAAGAATATTTGTCCAGTTCCATCTGTTTGGAAGTCGGAGTCATCACGCCGGTATGGAGTTTGTTGAGGATCAGTGCCGATGGCTGTCGTGTCGATGAGGCCTTCACAGGGCAGATGAGGCTGGCACTTCAGGGATGCGTTGTGGATGGGTCCAGGCGCAGGTCCACCATCTGATCTGGATACGGCCCGGGTACGGCTGACTTCAGTAAACAGGGAAGGGAATGGTTGACACTTCAGGACTGCGTTGTCATTGTGTCTAGGCGCAGGTCCTGCATCAGATCTGGACACGGCCTGGATCCGGCAGATCCGGCCACCTTCTACTGTTGTCAATGAAGTTGCTGTATCTTGTTTACAACTACATACATGTATGATGGAAAAAAATGCTTGCTTGCATTGCATTTACCACAGGCCATGTTCTACTACTGTTGAGTTATTTCATATCACATTTCAAATTACTTATTTTGAATTACTTTTCACAGAGAATAATATGTTTTGTTATCAATAATATACAGTATTATTACCTCCAATGTAGGGCTATTTGGTTCACTGTTTACATGTATTTTAATGGGCCACCCCTCTCTGAGTCTGTGCCCCCACAAATGCCTCATATGTACAGTGAAAATAATTAAACCAGAAAGAAACTAAACACATTCCTTCATAAATCATAGTGTTTTATGGCGACACTCTAGTTTTCTGAACTATTATTCTTGTTACATCTGTATGAGATGACCATGCACTGCTTGAGCGATGACACTGACACGAGTATTTTCACATTGTTGCTTTACTGTTCAGTTCATCTTGTATACAGTAACACTCAGTGTTTACTGCGCATGTGCAACACAACAGAGGATCAATACGGGTGTCGGAAGAACAACACATGCAACACTTACAATGCAATTCACAACCATTTAAACCGGTTCCCCTTATCAAACAATCAAACTTCAATACTAATTTTACAATAAATTGCTGTATTAAATGTAATTCCATCTTTTGCTTATTTACAAGTTATGGAAGTGAAGTTTGCTCACTTAAACACCTTTGGGCAAAACTTTTTCTTATGTCGCTGTAGAGTAGATAAATGACTGAAACTCTTCCCACATAAAGAGCACTGGTGCGGCTTCTCTCCAGTATGAACTCTCTGATGATCTTTCAGGTTTCCTGACTGAGAGAAACTCTTTCCACAGTGTGAACACTTGTATGGTTTCTCTCCAGTGTGAATCTTCTGGTGGGATTTTAAGTGGGTGGATCTCATGAAGGTCTTTCCACAGTCAGAGCACATATAAGGTCTCACACCAGTATGAATACGCTCATGCGCTTTTAAAGATCCATGTTGTGAAAAACTCTTTCCACAAAATGAACAAACGTGAGAATTCACAGCACAATGAACATTAAGGTGTTTTCTTAAGCCTGATTCCAAAACATATGTTTTATCACACTGATCACAGCTGAATGATCTCACTCCAGAGTGAAGGCGCAGATGATCATTGAGAGAGCTTTTGCGACCGAAACTCATTCCACACTGAGTGCATGTGAACGGTTTTTCTCCAGTGTGAATTCTCATGTGATCATTTAGGTGTCCTTTGCGATTAAAACTCTTTCCACACTGAGTGCATGTATAAGACCTTTCTCCAGTGTGAATCATCTTGTGTGTGTTCAGGTTTGATTTAGATACGAAACATTTCCCACACTCAGAACAGGTTAAAGATCCTTCGACTCCAGATTTTCCAGCTTGTTTCTGTGTGAAATTCTCTTCAGTCTTTGAAACGACTGCATTTCCATCACCATTTGTGAAATAATTAGGTTTTTGAAACTGATGCTGTTTGTCTTCATTCACTTCCATCAGGTCTAAAATAAACAAATTAAATTCCCATAATTTAATAAAAGGATAGTGAAACAAAAATGAACATTTTTCAAAATCTCAATTTTCTACTAGTATCTAGTTTTAGATGTTATTTTTCAGTTTTCATCTAAATGTTCCTCATCAGTGATTAAAGAGAATGAAGGAAAACACCAACCTATTTGTTCCTCTGTATCTTCATCTTTTATTCTGCAGGGTTCTTCCTCAATCTCCATCTTTACAATAGTATGTCCGTAGTTTCTCCTGGAGTAATTCCTCCTGCTTGCTTCTTCTTCTCCTGTGGGAAGATGGGAATATTCCCCAGCATTTAAACTCTCATGAACGGCTGTGGGAGCTTCACTGACTGAAGGAGTGAATTGTGGTCGTTGTTGCTCATTTAGCAGATGATCATCACACTTACAATCACTCGAGATCATTCAGGTGTAAATGTTTTGCTCAAATAGTCGTTTAGAATGATTACTGAATTTACACTTTGGGCTCAATATCAAGAAAGAAAGAAAAAAAGAAAGAAAGAAAATGTTTAAAAAAAATTATTTGTTACTTTTAAATCTCCAAATCTCTTTATATCTCTCACATTTTTATTAATAATACTTACACCATCTAACTTGAAAATGAAGTCAAGATTTATATTAAAATAAACAACATCAGTAACAGTCCAGAGGGTAAATATAATTACAAACAGATATTTGAAGTTTTAATCTCAAAACGATCTATTATGGTGAAAGTGAACAGCTGTGTCCCCAATAAGATGTTATTTCAAAATCAATACTTAATTATTCCAAATCAAACATGTTTGGGAGATTATATATATAAACCAAGATAACAATAGATTATCGTGTTTGTTTTATATATGGGTTAAAGAGTTTAATATGGTTTCCGCCAGTAGAGGCGCTCGAGCAACCGAAGCAATGACACACATCCGAGTCTAGGAGAAGAAGAGAAGTGAGCGAGGGAAGGGAACATAAACATGAGAAGTGGAACACAGCCGTTCATTCTGCTCTAAATCTGCTGTTTTCAGACTGTGAGTACATTCATTTATCATTTATTAGGAGAAATCTAAATCCAAACGACTAAACGAATTACTCAGAAATTAATTTAAAGGAACACTCCACCCATTTTTCATATTAAACTATGTTATTCTCTTATCTAAGACGAGTTGATACATACCTCTCTCGTCTCAGTGCGTGCACTGAATCGCTCTCTCGGGCGGAGAACTTTGAGAGCAGTTAGCTTAGCCCCATTAATGGGCCAAACAGAGATGAAGTTAGAAGCGACTAAACACATCCACGTTTTCTCTATTTAAATACAGTTACACGAGTAGTTACATGACCAAGTATGGTGACACTAAATAAAATGTGGTGCTTTTTCTAAGCGGGTAAAATGGATAACTATGGCGGAATAGCACTTAGGGAGCACTTCGACTCGGCGCAGTAATATCTTCACTCGTGAAAAATCCTCTCAGTTGGTAAACATATGGTGACGTTTCTTTGTGGGCGGAGCTTAGGTGGAGGGAGAACGATCCCTCTGGCCGCTTCCCTAACGTTAGTTTGCAAGTTTTGTTAGCTTGTTTTTTTTTAACAATGACTGGAGAAAATCCGATTTTATCTTAATGTGCAAGGTCACTCAGTATCCAGGACCGCGATTGTTATTTGCAAAAGTTAATTTTAACGGACGGAACCAGATTGGCTGACCCGTACACGCTCACTCAATGGATGGACGATCTGACAGGATTAACGTTAAAGTCCCACTCCGATCATATTTTGAGCTATTTGTAAACATTCCCAGTGGTCTTTAAATTATGATTATGCCATTTTTAGCCAAACTCACAAAACCTGTGCCGTTTTCTGGGACTTTGCTTCAGCAGAGCGGCAGTAGCTCATTAGCAATTCGCCTCTGCGTTGTGGGCGGAGCCGTTGGCACGGAGATGACCCTCCCCCTCCCCGTTGCTGAGAGCTCTGTCTCTCCCGCTAGCTTACACCCCCAACCTGTCATTACCGGTGCAACAAAAATTGAGAGCAATATTGGCGCTATCCAGCCGTACAGTGCGTTTTCGTTTTAAAATGCATAACTTTTGCAACGATTATGCGCTCCTGCCGTCCACATTACTGACCCTCGGCCTCGAAAACGGAGACTGACCCCTTCAGTCGAGTCCGATGCAAGACACGCAAGTGACGCAACCCATAGCAACGAGTCATGGCAACGACAGCTCAAACCGACAGAAACATACAAGTAAACGTGAATTTTGTCACATTGTCATGTTAATTATAATCAAATGCATTTTGTTTTATTGAAAACAATATTATCATTGATATTTGTTTGAGAGGGGCACTTTCGATTAATTTTAACAAGCTTGTGGCCCCGCCCAGTGGAGTTACTACGTCACAACTCCAGTCTATTTTGAACGGCATTTTAGCGTCTGCTACTGATTCACAGCCATTTGAATGTAGAAATACTCAGAAATACAACTTTGAGCTTATTTTTCTCAAGATATGTCCTCTAACATAAGAAAAATGCCACAAGAACATGTTAACACCTAGAAAAACATTATTTTCATCGGAGTGGGTCTTTAACGCTACGGTTAAGTGGCCTGACTTCTACACCTATCCGATAGAGAAACCGAGCGTAAAGAGAAACGGATGGCATATAAATCTTTAGATGCCTATAACTATGTGATGAATGGTCATGTACAAGACTTGTGTGGTACGATCCGCAGTTCTGCCGAGCCAGCGCCGAGAAGACGACAATGTAAAGAGTGACATTACGGTGCAATTTTAATGATGTGAATATTTTCTAGAAATAAAAATTCCAGATACAGCATATTCATTTTTCATTGATTCTTGCACCCAACAACACAACAAGATGACATTTAATAATAATAATAATTTAAGCTTCTTATTATGTAGCCGAATCTGTGGTGGTTTGTATTACCCGCCTCCAGTTGTCCGTTTGTTTTGCCCCCAGCTAGCGCTGTGACGTAACTGTGACGTCGGCGCAAAAGGGTCTGGCGGAAATGAGAGGGGGGAGAGGACTTTTCACGAGTGAAGATATTACTGCGCCGAGTCGAAGTGCTCCCAACCAAGTGCTATTCTGCCATACATTAAATAGAGAAAACGTGGATGTGTTTGGTCGCTTCGAACTTCCTCTCTGTTTGGCCCATATAGAATGAATGGGGCTAAGCTAACTGCTTTCAATGTTGTTCACTACGCTCGTCTCGTGAAGCGTAAACTCGTTACTGACTGTTTTTCCACATAACAATTTGTGAAGATTATGATTTGTTTTCATTTTATATAATGAAACATGGTAAATAGAGTTTTTAATGTAAATTATATCTAATGTAAGAGCAACAACAATCATCTAGAAGATTTGAATTGTTTCTAAATGGTTGTTTGATCAAAACACTTAAAGCTGGATAATCTCGAGTGATTGTAAGTGTGATGATCATCTGCTAAATGAGCAACAACGACCACAATTCACTCCTTCAGTCAGTGAAGCTCCCACAGCCGTTCATGAGAGTTTAAATGCTGGGGAATATTCCCATCTTCCCACAGGAGAAGAAGAAGCAAGCAGGAGGAATTACTCCAGGAGAAACTACGGACATACTATTGTAAAGATGGAGATTAAGGAAGAACCCTGCAGAATAAAAGATGAAGATACAGAGGAACAAATAGGTTGGTGTTTTCCTTCATTCTCTTTAATGACTGATGAGGAACATTAAGATGAAAACTGACATTTAACAATAACATCTAAAACTAGATCCTAGTAGACTCAGTTAGTGCTGTCGCGGTGAAGTAACCAAAAACTAAACAGCGTTGAAACAGGAAGTGAAATAAACAGAAGAGAATGTCAAAATAAGGGTCCACACAACAGAACATAAACCTGACTATATGCTTGTTAGCTATTTTTAACAGTTAGCTCCGTTCCTTGAATCTGACTGGACAAGAGACTTTCTGCTAATATTTCCCCAGTATCATCGTCTTCGTCTGCGCATAGACAGGCTGTCACTCAGTGTGCAGTTACATTAAAGGAGCATTCTGAAATTTCTAACCGTTACTGACACCAGTGGCCGTTAGAGAAACTGCAGCGTCTCATGCTCGTTCTCGGTGCGCACGCTCGTACGAGCACGACCACAGCAACCAGAGAGTTGCCGCAGCAACCACAAACGGCTCATCGAGATTCACCAGCATGTGTTAAACTAAACAAACACACACACAGATCGAGAGCGAGCCGTCGCTAATGAGTGACAGACGAGAGGCAGGAACACAGGTGAACACTTCTGTCACTCACAACAAACACACACTCATTACACACACACTCACACTCTCGCTCGCACACTCACTCACACACACTCGCACTCACTCGCTCGCACTCTCGCTCGCGCACACACACACACACACAGGTGAACTTCTTTCACAAGCTCCGATGTTGACTCTTGTCTTTGCCCGACGCTCTCTATTTTGGCCGCAGCGGCAATCGCTAGCAGTTATGGCTACCGTACGGATGTAAGCAATAGAAACCAAGAACGCGCATGACGTCACATTTAGTGAATTTTCGCACCAATTCGGACCCGACTCCTCCACACACAATTGAGCCTACAGGCTGATAGAGGCAACCGTGGTGGGCAGTTAAGGTGTCATTCTGTCTATTACCTTATGGTTGGCTCATAAATGTACAAATGAAAACTCTATCTTAAAGATTTTTTTAAAGTAAAATCCTACACACAGCCCCTTTAAGCCACTAGGTGGCGGCAAGGCACTGTCTGAGTGAGTTTTTAAACCGGTCATTCCATGAACACGTTAAAAAAAACGTTGATTCATTAAAGGTGCACTGTGTAATTTTTAGTGGCAACTAGTGGTGAGGTTGCGAGTTGCAACCAGCATAAGTTACGGTGGCCGACCGGAAAAGATGTCCTTGTCTGAGTCAGCAGAAAGTAGCCAGTTAAGCAATGGTTTCTTTACAAAGATGAAGTGAACCCTTCAAATTAGGGTTA